AAAAATAAAACCGTTACTCCTGCATTCCTGAGTTTCTACCAAAGGGATCAATAAAGTTCTACCTATCTATCTATTTAAAGAAAAATTCAAAAAAAATTGTATTTTCACAGATCATATTCCTTTTTTAATTTATTTATTTATTAACCATTTAACTGTAAAAAAAAAGTACACGAAATTGAAAGTGTAACTTTACAGGTTAACTTAAACATCTTTTTTTATTTATTTTTATTTTACTGTATTTAAATCTGTAAAATATTCTCCACGACGATTATTTTATTTTATTTTTTTACAAATACTACTTTATTCGTGCACAATGTTTTATTGTAAAATTGTACTATTTGTTTTACTGGATTTAATTTCACAAAAAAATATAATTATTCTTCAGACATTTGCTGTAATTTGGAATTTATTTATTTTTCTTTTTTTTTAAAAAAAAAGGACAAAAAAATTGTTTACCTTTTAATTATTTTTTTTTTTTAAATCTCCTTTGCTAAATTATAGACAATATCTAGCAAAATCAGCGAAAAAGTATTAATTGACATGTTGACGGTAAATAAAACAAAGAAAAGAAAAAACAAAAAAAGGCAAAATAAATTAAAAAAAATTTAAAATGAAATATAACAAAATCTGAATTCTGAACAAACAAACAATTATTTTTCAGACATTTGCCTCTTTTGAAAAGAAAATCTGTGTTTATTTAAGGTTACAAAAACTATTTTGAACAGTTTTTTAAAAAGATTTTTTGTTAAATTACGTATCATATGGAGTAAAATCACAGGAAGAAAATTGCGTTCTGTATGTTTTTAATAACACTAATTAATTCTTTTACAGTGTCGTGCCATGAAATAACACCTTTATTGTGTTTAATTTAGTGAAAAAAATCTGAGTTTACTGATATATTTGAATGCTTTAATGCAGCCTCTGATCATCGTGGCTGCATGTGAGCAGCTGCACCGCTGCATCCAGCCATACATCCAGCCATGCATCCAGCCATACATCCAGCCATGCATCCAGCCATGCATCCAGCCATGCATCCAACCATGCGTCCCGCCTGCAGCCAGACTCGCAGCACAAAGCCAGTCTTGTGTCTGGGCCAGCTGACGTCTCTGAACCTCTAACGAGAGCAGCAGCAGCAGTAGGATTTGTGTTTCCGTGCGGTTCCTCCGGGGATGAAGTGGCTTCAATCACTGTGACTGTAAATCAGTGGATGCAGAGGGTGAAGCTATTAGCAGGACTTAGACTCAGAGTTAAAGACGAAGCAGCTCTGAACCGCTGCAGGTGTTTAACTGGCCGACCACCAGATCGGAGCATCCGGGGCTCGACGTCGCTGCTTTCTAGGCTCGATTGTTCAGAATCTGTCGTACAAGCTCCTCTTTTTGACACATTTCTTGCAAGAAAAGTTGCTACAATGTGAATAAGAAGAAAAGCAGCACCCCTCCATCACTGATGTGTTTGGTTCTAACATCTGCACAAACCTGTGATGTTTGAAGACACACTGTCAGAAAAACTAAGTCTGGCATCTTTACTGCCAGAAAAATATGTTAAAAATGACATTAAAAAAGATTTTCTGGCTGATTTGTGATTTATTCATTTATTTTTAATCTGGTTAATATTTCTACACAAATTTAGAAAAAAAAAAACTATGCAGTGAAAATTTGGCAACGAGGCGTCAGAGAAGTTTTTAAAAAGGTAAAAAAAAAACAACTATGAAAACAACATTTTTCAGATTTCAAACACTGATGTTTAAACTCTGTCCAGTTCTAACCTGTTTGGATTTAAACACATTTACTCCTCAGCATACACATGTTTTTTGCTTGTTTTTTTTTTGTTTTTTTAAATACCATAAAAAAAAAAAAGTCAAATATGTATTTCTTTATTTGTTCATTTATTTATTCTTATTATAAAAAAAATGAAAAAGATTTATTAAAAGACGTTTTTTTTTTCTTTTTTTGTGATATTATTTGCAGTTTGGGATTGTTTTGTTTTTTTTGTTAGTTTTTTTATTTGAATTGTATTATTTTTAATTTAACAAAATTTCTATAAAACTGTTTTAAAAAAAAAACTTTAAATCTTTAACAAGGATATTATTTTCTTTCAAATAATAATTTATATTTGCGAAATAATGACTTTTTTTCTGATTGATATACACTATACATGGTGTAAAATAATAAACTACCATTTTTTTCTAAAACAAAAAAAAAGTAATTTTTTAAGGGAAACTGTTGTAGATTTTAAATTAAAGAAAATTCTGGTGAACGTTGAAGTGAGACGTGTTGTATGAAGTGATTTTAATGAAATATCATGACTTTAATCTGAGGTTTGGTTCATGTTCCCAACAGAACGACACAGGATAGGATAATTTAGAACCATCAGAACGGTGACGTCCAACTATTATTTCTGTTTCTGAGCTGTTTTTTTTCTCTGATAAAAGCTGAAATGTTTTGTGTGTTTCACATCAGTCTGTGTGTTTTGGGCTCAGAGGGTTCCAGCTGTTCTCCTATCGTCACTCTTTCATTCCAGATTGGGGTTCTTACGGTCGTTTCTTGCTTCAGAAACCAGCCGGTTGTTTGTCGACACTTTAAAAGCAGGAAATGTCAGATTTAAATAATGCATAAACTTCTGCTGAGAATCCGTCACTTTAATCACGTTTACGTTGGAGGCTGCGAGAAAAACACAAACTCACCGTGTTTAAGTGACTCGTTTACGTTTCTACCCATCATTTAACGCCTGCTTATTTCATTTATTTGCCTTTTTTTCTCTTCCAAACACCAGTGATCCTGCAGCGATGCGTTCATGGACCGATCGGCAAATACGCAAAAATGAACAAAACTAAAGCAAGACGCTGAGAAATGATCCAGTTTAGTTCTTAAAGTTTTGCTCCTCATATTCTGAGATGAGCTTCCGTCCCAGAGACCCGGGACACAATAAATAAACTAAGACAGGGATTTGACAATGCAGCCCCTTTGTTTTAGAAAAGGGATTATTTCCTGGCAGAAGCTTTCACTCTTTTCTTTTTTTCCTCCTTCGGGTGCCGAGTGATTGACGGCGTGTACAATAATGCAGCTGATGTTAAAACACACTCGGCTTCGCTTGAGCGGGAAAAAAAAGAAACAATAAAACCATGAAAAAGCCTCGTTAAAGACGATTTAATTTCATTTTCAGTTCGCTGATTGGATGCTAAATGGAGAAACAAATGTAAAAAGAAATTCAAAATCGGATTCTTGACAAGACTCTGGAGCAGCTTGTTGCATCAAAAGGCAAAAAAGTTGAACTTTTCCTGCAGGAGAGACAAAGTTCAGCCACAGATCAGCAGGAGGGAAGAAAACCTCCAGACGATGGCTTTCTTCAGCTTTCTCCTCAGTCAGCAGATCTACGATGCCGGAGCGATAATGCAGAGAAACTCTGAGGAACGTCCAGAGTTGTTCTGATCTCCAGTCGCACAGAGTTCAACTGTCTCACTGCTTGTTTCAGGACTTTTTAAAAGCTCTGAAAAGAAGCGAAGGTTCTGGATTCATGTAAAGAAACGTCAGAAGAAAATGAAGGACTCTCTCCATAAGTATGTGGACAAAAACGAGATCCTAACATCTAAGAAGTGAGAGATCAAAATATGGAACTAATCAGGATCTTATGGAATAAATCTGAATATGTACAATATATGGAGTCATGAACCCTCGAAAAGGCAGATTTTATTCATAAAATAAAAGCTTTTCTTAGAGCAGAAAACTGTAAAAACTAAAAAAAATATGTTGGATTATCAACTTTCCAACGGTCCTTGAAGTAAACAAACATCGGATCCGCTGGGAAAATTAACCAAATCTGAGCTTAATGTCATATTATTTGATCAAAATCAGTTTATTCTACGTCTGTTATTTAAAAAAATACAAAAAATAAATAGATTTAAACTCCTCTACATTATTATATACGATGTGTAGGTCCATTTACCCTCTAAACCCCCTGAAAGGCATGTTGTCTTTGAAAAAAAATTAAAAATAGAAAATAAAAATCCCCAAGGCTACCTTATTTATCACAACCTGAAACTGTAAAAACTGAAAAAAATGTTGGATTTTCAACTTTCCAACGGTTCTTGAAGTAAGCACGTTTGTGACACAGATCTATTGGGAAAATTAACCATAAACTATATATAGGTCCATTTACCATCTAAAGCCCCTGAAGGGCACGTTGTCTTTACATTATTTTGTTTTTAAATCGACAAAATTACCGTATTTATCACCACCTGAAATGTAAAAAACTGAAAACATATGTTGGATTTTCAACTTTCCAACAGTCCTTGAAGTAAACACACGCAGCAAACGGATCGACTGGGAAAACGAACCAGATCTGAGTTTAGCATTGTGCTAGTTTATAAAAAAAAAATAAAATTTGGATTCTAATAGTACAAAGGTATTAGGTATAACACTCTAATAATAGAAGATATAATATTTTAGGGGGCAGCAGGCAGCTAAAACTAAATTAAACAACAATTATAGAGAATCATTTATGTGATTATTTTGCAGAACTTTTCTAAAAATGAGAAACTATTTGAAACAAGAGACGTTATTTGATGAGAATTAGTCGGAAACAAACTTACAGTAAAAGCAATAAAAATGTTATTTGGTAAGAAACACTTGTTTAGTTCAAACTAAATGTGCATTTTTTTTTTTAAAACAGCTGGATAAGTGTAAGTTGAAGCCCAGCAGCAGCAGCAGAAGGCTCAAATAAGTCAAATAAAATAACATCATGTTTATAGCAAGGGGAGGATTTTCTTTCACACCAGTGGACACTTGGAAAACTTTTAGTTTTTAATGATTTATGGCTCCTGGATGTGTCCCTGGACCAAAACATTCCCTCTGTGTCTCCTTCATGGCTGTTCTGATTCCAAACCACCAGCTCAGCTCCCTCAGTGCTGAAACTTCTGCCCCTGGTGCAGGCTGTAGGTGGTCTAATCTGAGCTAAAACCACACCAGTCTGACGCCTACAGCAGAGGATGAGGTGGTACTCACGTTGGCAGCGGGTCTGGTCGTGTTGGTAGGAGCCGGCGGGGCAGGAGGCCAAACAGCGTCCGCTATCGGAGCTCAGCAGGGGCAGCAGGGAGCCGCAGGAATCACAATCCCACCGGGTGGAGCAGGTGGAGCAGGACGGCTGGCAGGCTGCAGGAGGACGAGGACACGGGTCAGGACCTTCAGGGACTCGTTACTGTCATACGTGAGTTTTACATGTCGTAGTTTAAAGCCCCACTACAGGACAAGGTGTGGAGTTCAAGAGCCCACATTGTGATGTGTGGCTTCCTCTTATCCTCCTTCAGCACCTTAAAAAGCTGCTTTTTGAGCTTGTAAAAGAAACTTAAGACGTCCAAAGTCCCACAGAAAACACTGTTTCACCTCCATTACTCTATTATTATTATGCTTACAACAGAAAATAAACTGATCTGTTCACATCATGATGCTGCCACCTCCGTGCTTCACATCATGATGCTGCCACCTCCATGCTTCACGTCATGATGATGCCACCACCATGCTTCACGTCATGACGCTGCCACCACCGTGTTTCACATCATGATGCTGCCACCACCATGCTTCACAGTGGGGATGTTGTGTTTGTTATGATATGCAATATTGAATAAAATAGCCTTTTTTTTTTTTTTTTTGAAATTTCAATGTCACAGCAGTAAAGTGACAGTAAGAAAAACAAGAAAACACAACTATAAATCAAAGAGGCGAAGTATATATACTATATAATATAAATAAAAACTTAAGAACACATATTTCAGAAGGTTTGCATTAGCATTTAAATATCAATACAATATAGATATTTGGTAAATGACAAACATAGCATCTAATTTAATGGCCAAAAAGCTGAATTTTGGTCTCCTCAGACTGAAGAACCTTCTTCCAGGTGACTTCAGAGTCTCCACATGTCTTCTGGTGAACTCTAGTCCAGATTTGATATCAGCTTTACTCAATAGTGTCTTTCTCTTTGTCTCTCATGAAGCTTTGACTGGTGACAACCAGACAACAGTTGTTGCATGAACAGTCTGAAGTCACTCGGTTCTTGAGGACGGATTTACTCATGTGCCATATTCCTTCCATTAACGGTGGATTTAACTGGACTTCAAGATGTTTGGTGATTTGGAAATTCCCTTGTATCCTCCCCTGACTGATGCTTTTCAACAACCTTTCCACAGAGTGTTCTTTATATCCAGGAGTTCTGACCCACCAGTGACTGGACCGTCCACATACAGGAGTCTTTATACTACAATCACTGAGACGCATCATTTTCTTATTGTGTGACTTCTAGAACCAACTGGCTGCACCTGTGTTCAATCAGATGGATCAGGGAAACACAATCCTGTACATTTGCATAATATCGGCTCTTTGGATCAGTAGCTGAGCTCGCTGGAGTGATGCTCGACTGTTCGGGGTGACGTCAAAGAGAAACTTGGGAGCAAACACAAACAAACAGGAGCCAGATTTCAACCCAGATGTTGCACAAACACATATAATAAATAAATCAACAAATGTCCCTTCTGCAACAATACAGATTTCCATCAGTGCTGCTTCCTCTGTAAAAATCATTTTAATTTACCTAAATTTAGTCACCTTCTCTCTCCACGTACCACCGTGTGGTGTTTTTTTTTTTGACGGCCGACCTTTATGCGGGTTTATTTTCGGCTTCCTGATGAAGTGACAACTTCTGAGGCCTGCAGATGGAGTCGAGGCAGATCACAGCGGGAGGGCCGGAAAACACAGATGCTGTGTCTTCACCGCTATAAATAATACAAGAAGAGGCAGCCGACGAAGATCCTGCATCTTCTCCCTATCACCGACGATGCACATTCAAAGTTTTTACGCCGGCTAAAGCTGCACGTACAACTGTGACCCGCAGAACATTCATAAAAAAATGTTCTCAAACAGAAAGTTTCTCAGATTAAATTCTGTATATTACAAAAAAAAAAGGAGAAAAAAGCAATATACCTGCTCGCTTCATTACGCAGAGAAACGAGGACGGCATTACTCTATATCCAACATTCTGATTAAAAGCAGCCTCTTAAGGATCTTTATGGTTCTCAGTGTCATCATCTGCTCGCCTCCGTGAGAATATTAATGAAAGCGGCACATTTAGAAGAAGAAGAAGAAGAGAGGAAAACTCAACGAGGACATGTTTTTTTTTTTTTTTTAAATGGGGGGAAAACCTCGAGATTACGGAAGAAAAAAGCGACTAAATCCCATTTAAGCCTCACCGCCGCCCACACAGGCGCACAGATAAGTAAAGGGAGGACGAGGAGATGGACACAAACAGATTAGAAATAAGGAAAGACGGCGTAAAAAAGACTTTTTTTTAGAAAGACGGGATCTTATCAGCAGATTTCTGGCTCAAAACTTTACTGTCGCCCACATGCGCTTCATAAAAACACAAATAAACAGCAAAGAAGTCTGCGTTCAGTGCACTAAGTAATAAAAGCTGTCATGAAATTACCTTAAAAACAAACACATATGTGCAGCTAAAACCAATCTAAGCCTCGAGGTGGGATCCCTACAGACTTCAAATTATACTTTTTGCTAAATTATAAAGCTGCTTTAATCTATTATTCTAATTTTTTAATCGTTTATGTTGTTCCCATGTTTTAATTAGAGCTTTAATTAGAGTGGAACCAAATGGAACCAAAAAAACTGAACATGTTCATGAAGCTGGTGTGCTGTTGTGTCAACCCGCATCCGGCAACTTGAGCAACGCAACCCGAGCGGTGGTTTGGTTCCGATCTGATAAGGAGGGGAAAAAAAGGAAGGAGGTTTATCGGTCCGATGGTGTCTGCTGGTGTTTATGGGGGACGTTCCGTCGACATCCAGCTTCCATGGAGAGGAAAGACGACGCAGACGAGACACTGAGACCGACAAGGACGCAAGGAAACGTTTCGGAGAATTTCATTTTCTGCACATTAATGAAATGCAAATCCAATTTCACAAGCACTTGCCAAGATTAGTTGTGTCTATGTGTGTTAAACTGTCATCATCTTGTCATCAGTGTTCATTTCTAGTCCATGTAAAAGGCAAAATAAAGCCTCATGTGTTGGTAAATTCCAACATGAAGACCACATGGAGGCAGCTTGTACTAACAAACTGGAACCTCTACTTTCCACACATCAGATTCTACTGATGTTAGAGCCTCAACAGTTGGTTAAATGTCGACTTAATACTGTATTTTATTAGAAAATATAGATATAAGTATATGTATATACACTTAGAAGAACTTTCTAGGGAATTGTTTCCACTTTTTTCTTCTTTCATTTTTGACTATTGGGATCATTTTGGTGAATCCTTGTCTTGTACTGAACAAACCTTGAGTACATTTGGATAATTTTGAGTCATTTTAGTCAAACCTTGAGCAAGTTTGGAAAGTTAAGAGTCATCTCGGACAGATTTGATGCCAAAATATCTAAAAACTGGAACCTTTTCTTTCCACACATCAGATTCTACTGATGTTAGAGCCTCAACAGTTGGTAAAATGTCGACCAAAGACTATATGTTAGTAGAAACATGGATCCATCCATAGATATACAGTCATGACTCGAAAATCCAACACTAAAACCTTCTTTTATGTTCTATATAAGGCTGTTGGATTGTCAAGACGGACGTCGAGATACAAGGAGGGCTTGATGCTTGCTCGTATTTAATTGGAAATGTGAACGAACTCACAAAAAAATCAGATTTCGCAAAAAAAATCTGAATGTAGCATTAAGTCCTGCAGTGTGAACGTAGCCAATCTGTGGGATTGTCCAGTCAGACAATACGCCGTTATCCTGATGTGACACAAAATGTCCTGTCGGAGTCGGAATCCAAGGCTGTCGGTATGTCAAGGCTGTTTTTAATGGGTTCTGTTCGTTTTTCCTAAAAACCTGTCAGATAGCAAAGTTTAGGATTGTCAAGGGTCAGATTATCCAGTCACGACTGTACATACACTTACGAGGACTTTCTACGACCACAATCCCACTTTCATTTGAAAATGCTACATTTTTTTTTAACTTTTCGGGGTCAACAAACATTAATCGTTGTTGTTTTTGACCATTTTGAGTCATTTCCAACAAGCCTACCTGTATTTTGAACTTTGATCTTTTGTAGATTTAGATGATGGAGTCATTATGAATGGGTTTTGCACAAATGTTTAGTAACTTTGGACAACTTGGGCAGGTTTGATGCCAAAATAGCAAAAATATGAAACTTTGTCTTTCCACACATCCAACGTTACTGATGTTGGAGCCTCTAAAGTTGGTGAAATGTCGACCAAAGACTGGATTTTTAGTAGGAAACATGGATCCATCCATATTTATACGCTTAATGGAACTTTCTGGGGCCACAATATCACCCTTGTTTGAAAAATTGGCCTTATTTCCCCATTTTCAAGGCCAAGTAATTAGACATGTGTCCTCTGCTGCAGCCATTCAATCATTTCTATCTACCAGAAACAGTTTTGTCTGTGATTTCACCAAATTTCAGGGCTATTGGAGTTACATTTCTGGAGAAATTGAACCCCTTTAAAGGGCTTTTCAGGTAAGACTTACATTTGCAGGAACTCAAAATTCAGCCATAATACTTTTGCAGAATTTTGTTCTGGGGCCAAAATAATTTAAAAGATAAATTCTAAATCACCACATACTGATGCTACCAACAGCGTACATGTGAGGTGTTTAGGGGACGTCTGTAAACTGCAGCTTTACAAAACAACCCCCTTTTCTACTGAGTCTAGGTCAGGCTGCACCACCAACCACCACCATGACTACATCCTCCAACTGGGGGAAACGTTATAAAACAGAACGCACTGCATTTACTGCAGCCAAAGATTTTGCTGCCGGAGCGTCGATGTTCCAGATTGAGGCGTTAAAGAAGCAGAATGTCTTTAAGATCGGCAGCCTTCGTCACCGCAGGAGCCAGAAATGGTGCTAAAATATAAAACTGCCCATAATGTAGTCATTAAAATCTACATTTGACCAAATTAAAGTCCTGGATCAACCAAAAGAACGAACCTTTACTCCTGTTTACAATCATGTACATCAGGTTTTAAGAAATTACCAATTAAATGTACCATTTGTGGAGAACATATTTGGGAAAATGAAAAAGTTAGTTTGGAGACTAAACCAAAACAATGTTTAAATTCGGAAATGCAGGACATCACTTCAGACAATTGTTCATTTTTGTGTCTACACCCTTAAAATTAAACAAAACTTACCTCTAAATAAAATAGGTTCTAGCAACTATTTAGTATGTACAATGCTACCTGTTTGCAGAAATGTGTTCTATGTGTTCCTTTAAACGGTATATTAACTTCTACTGATGTTAGAGCCTCAACAGTTGGTGAAATGTCGACCAAAGACTGTTATCAGTAGAAGATATGGAGCCATCCATATATATAAACACTTAAAGGAACTTTCTAGGAACATAACACCACCTTCATTTGAAAATGTTTCATGTTTTGTCCATTTTTAAGGGCCAATACATTTTCCTTATTGTCATTTTTGGACATTTTGGACAATCCTTTGTTTATTTTGAGCAAATGTTTTGTCAATTTGTATATTTTGGACAAGCTTTTAGTAGTTTTGCACAATTACGAGTCATCGTTGGCAGATTTTATGATCAAAATATCTAAAAACTGGAACCTTTTCTTGCCATGTATCAAATTCTACTGATGCTAGAGCCTCAGAAGTTGGTTAAATGTATATTAAGTTCTGTTCTTTTGTTTTTTCATTGCCTTTCCCATCACATCTTGGTGATTTTCGTCTTTTATCGCTGTGTTTGATCTATTTTAGGTCTGCACATTGGGTTTTGTGCCTCCTGGGCTCCATTGTGCTGCTGCTATCTCGGCCCGAGGTCCCTGCTAGAAGGTATTTTTAATCTCGAGGAGCCACTCTGCAGGTTGATTAATGTCAGCAACGCCGTCTGCTGCTGTACGCAATCAGGATCCGCCTTCTTTGTGCTTCTGACTGAGCGTTAAAATCCAGCTGCTACTGTTAGCTTTGCGGCTAGCGCCTTTGTCTGCGTCTGATTGGCTTTAGGCCGTTGGGTGTTTATGGCTTTACGAGCGGCCGCGGGCGGCAAACGTCTGGTTCAGGAGGGCGGTCAGTCAATAGGACGATAGAAATTCGATGCAGTAAAATGCAAAGTGGATTAGAGCTGCTGTGGGTCAGCGCTCGGTCAAGGTGCTGCAGGAGGTTTGGAGTTAAAGAAACGTAAACGTGCACAAAAACGATAAAAGACGATGAGGAGGATTTAGATGCTCCTACATGAGCTCACAGTCCAGATGGAGCCACTGCTGAGGTCCTGGTTAGCTGCACTGTTCTAAACATTTCCTCAGAAAGTTGAAGTAATATTCAGCTAATGATGGTGTTTGATGGACAGACACTAAACCTGATGATCAAAGTGTGATGTGTGGAGAGAGATGGTTTTATGAGTGGTGACGATCTGTCGTTTAACATTTTGACCTAACAGGATGTTTTCCAGTGTAGCAGGAGCACTGGGAGCAGAGCATCACTGCACAGGGAGATTACTTTAATAGGGATGCGTGCCAAATTAAAATCAGACACGATTTTTTGCCTTTTATACACTGGAGGGAAAAAAATCCTGTTAAAAACGTATAAGAATCTATGTAAAAATATCTGTCTAGAAAGTGGTGGAATACTGCAGCATTCTGGTACGTTTAGAAGCTGATTTAACTCTCATGAACTACAGTAAAAACAGAGTTTGCTCTGTTTCCAATTTCTATTATTCTCCCTGCTCATTCCGACGGTGACACCACCAGCCGAAACCAAATTCCTTGTATGTTGTGTACATACTTTATACAGCATTAAAGCTGATTCTGATTATTCACTGTAACAGCTCAAAAATTGATTTACTATTTTTCAGTTCTTAATATAAATAATTTTCCTTCAAAGAGGAGAAATCAAGTGGTGAAATAACAATATTCTTAGCTGATTATAAACAAACTACAAAAAACTGAGTTATTTTATAGTAAAATACAGTAAAAGAACAAATTACTGTTTGTAAAAGTGAATATTTTTGACGTGGACATTATTTACAATTTTTTTTGTTTTTGTTTGTTGCAGTTAACAAGTAAATTAAACTTTTTTTCTGTAATTTAACAGAACACCCCCAAAAAATCTGAAGCATCAGTTCAAAAAACAGATTTTTCAGTTTTAAATATGCATTTTTTTTTCTTTTTTCTATGATTTTTCTGGATATTATCTAAAATTCTAATTATCTGTAGCAATTAAAAATATTCTTTAACATTTTTCAATCTTTAATATACATGTTTTATGTTCCAATATGGGAAAATAGCTGTGAAATAATATTCTGCTTTTAATTTATTCATTTTTAAAAGTGTCAGATTGTAAAAGAGCAAATTACTATTTGTAGAAGTGCATACTTTTGATGTAGACGTTGTTTACAATTTTGACTTTTCTTTTTTAACAGTTAACAACTAAATGAATAGGTTTTTTCCTGTCATTTTACAAAACATGAAAAATCTGTCAACAACAGTTAAAACAACACTGATTTACTGTTTTTCAGTCCAAAATATTCTTTTTTTTTCCCCGACTAAATAACAGCAAGTAGCTGAGAAATGACAAAATTTTAAGTTGATTTAAATACAAAAACAAAATAGAGTCATTTTAGGGTTAAATGTTGTAAACAAACACATCGCTGAAATACAGAAAAATATTATTATTATTTACAATTTTGACCTTTTTTGACCTTTGTTTTTTTAACTTTTTTTTTTTTTTTTTACTGTAAACAACAATTGTTCTATGATTCTAAAAGTTATCATCTGTAATTTACCAAAACAGGGAAAATCTGTAAAAAACATCCAACTGTCCAGAAATTCACAGTTAAAAAACCTTCCAAAAACCTTCACTTTTTCCAGCGTATTCACAGCCTCTGAGCTTTTCCGTCACGCTTCGTATCACCAGCACCGGACAGAACAAGGCGCCCTGATTACCAACTTCTGTGTTGTGAAGTGACCCAGTTCTGATTCTAAAAAGGAGGAGGAGGAGGAGGTGTGCAGATGCTTTGTGCAGATTGCAAGTTCAAAAGGTTAATTCTGCTCCTTGAAAGGGCAGCGGCTCCTTGTCTGCATTATCGCCCTGATGGGGCTGAGAGCATAACTGGTTGTATTGTTTAAGAGAAATAATGAACAACAAGAGACGAATACTAACCAGCAGTCGGGAGAATTCCTGCAGAGAAGGAGCCACATCTGCAGGGCAACAGCCAGATAAATGCAAGGCGGATGACGGACACATTTAAATTTCAGGCCTACCTGCGCACGCTCGTCCTTCGGCGAAGAATCCGGCCGGACAGACGGACAGGCAGCGGCCCAGATGGAGCAAAGCCTTCGGGTCTCTGCAGCTTTGGCATTGGTCAGGAGTCCCCGAACACGTCAGGCACTCCGCATGGCACCGGGCTGCAAACGCACAGATTTGAATTTTATTTACACATGTGGGGAAAAAATATGTTTGCAGCAGAAAAAAAATAAATAAATAAATGTGGATGTGAAAACCACCCACAGCCCCACATACAGCCTGGCATTCAATTTCATGCTAATTTCCTCCCATGCATGCGGCCTGTTGGTGGATGCGGACTCGGAGCTGCTCCCTCCCACTGCGGCACACATATTTTCGGAAATTCGATTTAGCTGCGCGCTGAAACCCAGTTAGCAGACGGAGACGGATTCCACTTTTGCGAAACAGGGACACAAAATTCATTTTTTTAACAAATTCCCATCCAGTCTATTTGGTTCTCCAGAGTTTCTGGGTGCATCCACGACGAAGCGTTCAAACACCAACAACTCATGAGCCTTTCTTCTTCTCATTTGTCAACCAGCTGCACTCAGAAGTCTCTTTTCACCAAGTGAGCTGGTGTGTAAATATACTTTTTAACTAAGAAACAAGTAAAAGCATCTTACAGTCTGCAGACGACAGCGTGTGCAGCTGTGCAAATCCCCCCCGTAAGTGCACAAATGTTTGAGTTGTGGGTAAAATTGACAGAAATGAGACTCTGAAGCTGCTTTTTTTCGGATTTAAAGGTCTGCTGATGTTTGATTTATGCTTTCCAATGTAGCAGAAGGAAAGCATTTTGAAAAAACAACAAGAGAAAACTTGCTTAAAGCAGCTTATTGCTAAGTTTTAGCAACATTACTGCTTTCGCATACTCTTTAATAGCATTACTTCAATAAATTATCAAGCAAATTTGAAGCAAACACTGAAAAAAAAAACTCCTTTGAAGTGAATAAACGAGGCTGCATGACATCACCAGAAGGTGGCGCTGCAGGCTACACGACTGGCATAAACACAGTAGAAGAAGTCGCGAACAAGGCCGTGATTTTTGTAAACTGCTGGAAGAAGAAACCAGAACTTTGACCGTCTACGAGAAAAAAAAAAGTCTTGCGAATTTGCTAAAAGTTGCAGCCGGTATCGGCCATGTTTGATGCTGTCTGGAGGCCAAAACAACGAAAGAAACAGAATCAGCTGATCAGTGATGTGACCGGAACATTTGCTACAACTGAACTTCTACAAAAACATATTTACATCTCTTGCAAAAAGCTTTAATTCCTTTTATTTTTAAAAAAAGTCAAAAACTACTTCAAGCATCATAAGCGTCAAAACTTACGCGAAACTTCAAATTGCCAACGTCATTGAATCATGGGTCACGTCTAATACGCAAACATCACGAGATGCAATCAACAAGTTCAGATTCTGATCCTGTCGTTAATGCTAAATGCTACCGCTAAAGTGCTATTAGTTTCGAGAGTCAGGACTCAACATGGCATAAAGTAACCAACGTCTGGACCAGTTACAGCTACAGGTGCAAATTTGCAGTTTCATCGTGGACCCGCAAAAGCAGAAACTGTTCGAGCCAACGTTCATTTGGAGGATGATCACTGTTAACCAGAAGCAGGTCTGCAGCTACCGTCGACAGAAGAAACAGCAGGTTTCATGGTTTCATTTCCGCTGTTTTCTATCATAAACTCATCCCCTGAATGTCGAACCATCAAGAATGACTCCTACTGCAACATCCTGAGTCTTCCTAAAGAGAACACTCGGCGTTGTGTTGCAGGAGCCCTGGGAGCAGAGCATCGCTGCACAAGCAGACGAGTTGAACCCTGTTCAGGACTTTCATGTTGCCATACGTAGAAGGTGTTTCGGGGTTCATTGGACCCCAAGAAAGAATATGTGGAAAATATTTATGACAATATGCGTGACAGGGAGAAGCTTCCACACAAGAAAGAACGAACACGAAAAAGGAAGCATCAGGACCACTCACAAGATCACAACAAGAAAAAGCAGAACAGGTTGATTTAGGGAAACAACCACATCATGGACGGGGACAACGCACAGATCATCTCATCGGAGAGCAACAAACTTAAACGCTGGACCAAGGAGGCCATAGAAATCAGGAGGCGAGCCAAAGACACCATGAACCGTGATAAGGGGGCGTTCATGCTGTCCCACACATGGGACGCTCTCCTGCAGAGACCACCGGGGGGCAGGAGGCGTGGCCTGTCGGGTAAATCTGACTGCCAGGCAGGTCACGCCTCCTTCAGGAAACCACCAGCTGATAAAGACACGTCACCACAGACGTCAGTGATGTTTGAAGTGACAGGGAAACATGTCAAGGTAGAAACAGCTCCTACCTAAAAAAAAAAAATCATTGTCTGATAAAAAACAGAAACCTTATGTCTGTAATCAGAGTAAACAAAATGAACCTAATCACACAGAATATCTGTTGGTGTTCATTATAAACTTTTATACTATGTTAAATAAATGTTTTGATAAGTTGATATATTTTCCAAATGCATGACAAATGTCCCTCTTTTTATATTTTAAAAACAATACCTGTCACCTATACCAAATGGCCTGGAGTCCAAAAGACCCCAAAAGTCCTGAACAGAGTAAACGGGGGATTGTGGCCAAACTGAAATCAGGTACCACCTTTAATATACTGTAAAAAGGAGTTGCAAAAAACCCTGTGAATATCTGGTAGCAAGGTGCCAGAAATAATGGTGAGCCACAGTCTTGTCTTGGACATTTTGCACCGTGAATTCGTCCTCCAGAGTCCAACTGTCAATACTGAGCTCTACTAAAACAGTCTGAGGCAGAAAATTGGTGGAAATGATCCAAAACGTGGATGCAATCAGCATTTCCAAATCACCCTGCTCACCAGATTTCTACCCTTTACCCTTGCAGCGTCCTCTTGCCCAAAATGAAATTCAAGAGTTGACACAAATAAAGAGCAGCATGTTGCAGGAGCACTGGGAGCAGAGTATGGCTGCACAAGCAGGATAGTTCAACGCGGCCAAAGTTAAAACAGGTATGACCATTTATATACTGTAAAAAGAAAAAGAAAAAAAAACTGTGAATATCTGGTAGCAAGGTGCCAGAAATAATGGTGAGCCATCATCCAAAACCAGAGCTGTTGTCTTTGACATTTACAGGATTTTTCAGCGTGAATTCGTCCTCCAGAGTCCAACTGTCAATACTGAGCGCTACTGCAGCTTTCTGAGGCGGAAAATTGGTGGAAACGATCCGAAACATGGACACTCTAACACAATCAGCATCTTCAAATCGCCCTGCTCGCCACATTTCTACCCTTGCAGCTTCTTCCTCTTCCCCAAAATGAAATTCAAGAGTCGACACAGTGGTGGAGGCACAAATGAAGAGCAGCATGTTGCAGGAGCACTGGGAGCAGAGCATTGCTGCACACATTTAAATCAGGTGTACGGTTGTTTCTTTATTTTTTCTTTTGATTGCACCTCCTACCCAACAAACTCCAACCAAAAAGCATCAGCAGGAGCCGCGAACGTCAACTAAACAAACCACAGGGGCTGAATTATATTATTAATTACATTCTAAAAAGAATGTAAAACATGGTGCGGTTGCAGATTCTTTTAAAAACTTTTTTCCATGACTAAGTCCGAGCCCTCGCGACCTAAAAACTTAACTCCTTTCGGGTTAAATAATAATAATCTCTGAAGAGGTCTGAAGGGCTAAACAGGCTGTTTTTCCCTCTACAGCTCAGTTTGCCCTGAGTGGGGAAGAAAAAAACCCAAGAAACTGCTGAATCGTACCCCTTAAATTCAATTAACACATGAAACAAGCTAGAAAAAAGACACACATCACAGCCCTGTTGGTGCTCGGTGACCCACTTGGTAAACTCTTTTGTTATGTTATGAAAATTACCTCCTGAAAAATTAAAATCTCCCACAGCTCAGCCTTATAAAAAAACCACCTCCGTCATCCGAATGTACAGAATGTGAGCTGACAGCGACAACGGCGGCCGCAGAACGCCTCTTGTCAAACAACGCTTTGACTTGATTGCGCCGTGATGGCTCCGTTCATTGCGCGAATGCAGATAAAGCTGCAGATTAACGGCAGCACGGTCTGGGAGGAGGAGGAGGAACTGAAGGATCAGAGAGACGTCGGAGGGGAAAGTGGAAAAAGAAGCATCTGAAGACGGAGTCGAAGACGAGAAAAAAATGGAGATGAGACTTTAATCTTAACGGCCAATGAGACTGTCAGTAAGGCAGAACGTAGCGTCCTAAGCATCCCCATCGCTCTCCTTTCTCACTCAAGTGCCTCTCATTATTCCTGTCTTCTGTCTCCTTTACAGCTTGATTTCTTTCCCTTCTACCGTTTTCTCGCCGTCTGCCACTCGTTCTCGCTCTCTGACCTCGCTGTTCACCACCTTGCACTCCGGCAGAAGGACTGTACGTAAAGTTCAAGACGGTCGGTGTCGGATGTTCTGGCCCGGCGACGAGCTCATTGGCTGATATCAGCTGAGCGTTCGCTGTATCTCTGTGTTCAGCTGTGGCTTTAGCTGGATTTAACCCTCTGAACTGCAGGCAGTCTGGCACGTTTCGACTCACCGTGGGCTCCTTTTAAACTGCAACATAAAGTCCTGCAGTTCTATGGAGACAGAAGAACCATGACTAGAAGGAGAGAGGACTCAGTACGACACATTCATAACGCCATAAACAAGAAACATGGTGGCTCCTACATAATTAACTAGTACTAATATACAACTATCTCCCTCTACTGTAATACTATGAAAACCTAAAACAACTATTTAGCTGTCTCCATGTTTCAGCCTCTCCAGATGTTTCCTCTCTGCTCTGCTCATCAGCAGTAGAAAGATGTTCCACCATCAGCTGGATGTATCTCCAACAACATGCTCCTTTTTTCACTGTTTCTGAGCCATGCTGCATTTATTTATTGATCCAGGAGGTTGGATTTTCCTCATTTCGTGTAGTCTTTTTGTCGTTTCTTGAGTCATTTTGGTGACTTTGTGTGTTTTCAGGACAGTTTTGTGCCTTTGTGGTTGCTTCGTCTCTCTTTTTGTTGCTTTCTGTCCTGTTTTTGTCGTCTTATGTCTTGTTTGTAACGTTTTTTTTTTTTTGTCTATTTTTTGTCTTGTTGTTGGTTCGTATCTCACTTGTGTTGTTTTGTGACAGTTTTGTTTCCACATTCTATAAATATGTAACTGTTCACTGTTTCTGAGCCATGCTGCATTTATTTTATTGATCCAGTGTGTCATTGTTGTCATTCTGGACAAAAATTGAGCCATTTTGGACAAATTTTGAGTTATTCAGCTCACATGTAGCACAGTTTGGATCACTTTGTTCAGTTTGGAGTCCCTGAAGACAAACGTCGAGTCGTTCTGTGTAAATTTTGGGTCCTTTTTTTTTGACAGACGTTGAGGAACTTTGGTCAAATTTAAGGTCACTTTGGAGAATTTTGTATTAATTTTAAGTAATTGAAGACACATGTTGCTGTCTCCAGACGTTTCCTCTCTGATCTGCTCATCAGCTGTAGAAAGATGTTCCACCATCAGCTGGATGTATCTCCAACAACCTCCTCCTCTGTTCACTGTTTCTGAGCCATGCTGCATTTATTTATTTATCCAGAAGGTTGGATTTTCCTCTCAGTCTAAAATTGTCCAAAATAGCTCAAAGCTTCTCCAAAATTACTTAAAACGAGTACAAAACGACTCAAAATATGTTCAAAACGACACATTTGAAGTCTTTACAGAAACCTTTAGTCATTTGGAGAAGTTTTAGTTCAGTTTTGAGTCTCTGCTCTTCAGCTGTAGAAAGATGTTTCACCATCAGCTGGATGTATCTCCAACTACTTTGTGTTGCTTAAATGATGCACTTTAGTTTCGGTTTAGTTTATTTTGGTTGTGACATTCAGAGGAACAAATAAAGCTGCGTGTTGTCGAGTTGTTTATCTGCCTTTATCCATCCATAAACTCAGTCGCTGGTATGTTCTTGTTTCTAAAACTGTTCTTAATCTGATTCATTCATACCTACGGATCGACAGAACATCAATCTCAAGGTTTAATTCCTGCCATTCGGTCCCAAAGTTTAAACTGAATTGGGGAAAAAGGGCATTAAAACATACCACTTCCTGATTAACTAAACAAAATTAAAGCAACTTAATGTAACTTGCAGGCAGACAGAGCTGTCTGTGTGACGTATAGTTTTGTAGTTTTATGATCCTGTAATGCACATTTAATCTGTATGTTAACCGTATTTAAACAGTTTTTTGGCTTTTTTTTCCCAGTTTAACAAAAGTTCAATTCAAAATCTGTGTCCTAACTCTCTTTTTGCAAACAAATCATTTAATTTTATCTGAACCCTCAGAAAACACAATGAGGGACAACCTGCACTGTCAACGGTTCAGACAACAACAACAACAAAATAAATAAAATAAGAACACCTGACTTTATTCTGTCCTGCATGTTAAACAGTGTGTTTTATCACAGACCTCCTCCTGACCGTTACAGGATCATTCCTCGTTCCCTTTGACAGCTGACTTTAATATATTTCTCCTCTTGTAACTTCATCAATCTGCGCGCTTTGATTCGAGCGGCTGTTTACGGACGGCTGCCTCGACGCTCTACTTTAATTTCCTCGCTGGATCTCTGAGGCACTAAATTAAAAAGCGCGGCGCTGATTAACAGCCGTACAGCAGCTCATCCGGAGGTGAGCGTCATCACAACACCACCTGGTTGTGTGTTTGTGTGCATGTTTGACAGCGTTTCTGTTGAAAATAAGTGGATTTTTATCAAGTCGACC